ATGGCTGAAAGCTGCTGCCCTAGCCCAGGACGCCCGGTGCCACTTGGACCTCTGCAAAAGCAACACTGGGAAGCAGGACTTGGCAGAACAGATTCCAGGGAAGGGGGTGGGGTGGTTTCTATTTAGAAGCATTGTAAAGATCTCACACCAAGCCATGGTAGGGGAGAGAGCGATCCCCAAGGGGGTGTAGACAAACAACACAACTCACACCCCAGCAAGCAGGTAGTTAACAGTTTTCTTTATGCAAATATAAACCTCCAAAACAAGGTCACTAATGGACTCAGAACTTCTGACTTTAAGGTTTGCTCCCAGCAGTTCAGTTAAGCAATTGTACCATCCAGGTGCCTAAAGAAAAAGCTTGCCTCCAGTGCAAGACAGGCTAAGTCCTTAGCCCTATTACAATAGTAATAACTTAGTGAGAGGAGTTTGGCTTTTCTGCCTTTCAGCGTGCTACTAGCGCTCAGAGGTTGGCTCTGTTTCATAGTCATCAGTTCTCATGTCATTGAGACCCAGCTCCTCATTGTGGGCAAACGTGCGCTCATAGTGCTCCACTTTTAGCTCCGGATCTTCTTCTGGAGCATATACATTCTTTGAGTCAAAGAAAAAGAAAGGAACAGTTAAGTTATGAGCAGAGCCTATCATCATTACATGCACAACACTTCTCTAGCACACTTCAGCTAAGAATCACCTAGCATTTTTACAGACTAGTTGAGCCTCACCCCCCTTTTTGAAAGACTTTAAAATGAGTTGTTCTAGGGCACCTTTTAAAAGTTGGTTTTTTTTAAAGGCTATGTAACAGCTACCCCACAGACCACCATTTAGGGATGCAACAATCAGCCCCTTTTAAAAAGGAGTTGTGAGGCACAGAGATCACATGATTTGCCCAAATACCAACAAGTCCACAGCAGACAGAAGAACCCTACAGTCCTAGCTCTCAGGCCCCCCGATCTGCCCATTGAAGAACCATGCATCTGACTTTTTTCCCCCCAGCTACCACCAATAAGATCACTGCCCAACATGTAGCAAATCAGAAGTTAAGGAACATGGGCATGGAGATAAAGAAGCCAATTCTTTTCCCACCTCAGTCCACCTCCATAGTGGTTCCTGGGTTGTTCTGAATAGCATTGGGGCAGAGGGGTGCGCACTGTGGACTACAGGTCATTCAAGAGACCCTAAAGGGAAATCTCATTACAAAGTGCTCTGCACTCTACCTGCAAGTAGCTGTTCCCTGCAGGATCATCTAGAATGAAGTGAGCTTCCATGTGACCCTCCATAATCTGAGGAAACAAAGGCATATTAACAGGTTGACTGTCTTTGCTGAAGAGTTGCCAAGACCCCTCCCCTCAATCTATTTTAGCAGTGAACAGTCCCTCCTAAATCTTGCAGGTTGTGACCACCCCCCTTGTTCATGCACAGAATGATAACTCAGGAGCTACAGAAGCTTTATGCACTACTGTAAGAACACAACTTGCTTTATAGGCAGCTAGAACATTCTGTGCATAACAGTATTTACTCAAGACAGGACGTGCTTCAGGTGAGGAGGCCTGTAGGAGGACAGAGTTCCAGATATAGCCAACTGCTGCTGTCATGCATGCTTCCGATCTAATCCCTGTTAAAATCCCAATTTGTTGCCACATTTGAAGGTTTGAGTAGTCTGGTGTAACAGATTAAGACTGTGGACCAGCCCCCTTATCCATGATATTTAGGAAACACTGAAAGCCAATGGCCATCTGTAAACAGAGATGCAGTATCTCATAGCTGCCCACACTGGACAAGAAACAGGAATCCAACTAAGGATGTTAAGGACTAGTCGACACTGATTATCCGATAAGCAGTTGCTTGTCAGTTGACTAGTCGATTTCCCCCCTCCCCCTTGCTGCCTCCATCAGACACAGGCAGCAAAGGGATGGGGAAGGGTATTTCAAAGCAGCAGCAGCGCACAGCTGTGTGCCCTGCCGCCTTGGCATTTCAAAGGGGCAGTGCCGTGGAGCCTGGGTTCAGCTGGGACTCCCCAGCTGATCCCAGGCTCCGACTGGCATGCAGCACAGCATGGAGCTCAGGACTCTGAGCCCTCCGTTGACCCCAGATTCCATGAGGGCTCTGTGGCTTTGAAATGCACAAGAGCCCCAGCTGGGGACTCTTGAACATTTCAAAGCAGGCATGCCCTCAAGCAGCCTGGAGTCAGCTGGACTTGCCACTGGTCCAGAGTTCCACATTCCTCCTCTGAAATATACAAGAGCCCCAGTGAGGGCTCCTGTGCATGTCACAGGAGGAATGTAGAAGTGCCTATCAACTACTCGACTACTATTCCATCGACTACTCAACTAGTCAATTAACCGTAATTTAACATCCTTAAGTCTAACATGGATGTGGCTCCATTTCCCAGCATGCAGAGTTCCATCTTGACCCTGCCATCAGTTGCATCACTGCATGCTAAGAAACAGGGCTGTGGCTCTATTCCATTACTTGTCTGGACACCCTAGCCAGTAGAACAGCCAGTGATTTTATTTACATCTAGGATGTACATAGTTGCATGTATCCAATTTGGATTAGCTCAAGGCACCTGGAAAGTTAGCCCTTTACGGCCTAACCTGTGTTATAGCATGGCAGGAGTGTCACTTCAGTGAGAGGAGAAAACTACTCGAGACTTTGGTGGCTCAGAGTAGTGATACTGAACATCTTTAGTCTAGCTTGTGTGAGGGGTTGAGGTCAGGGCAAGCTTCAGGATCACTGCCTTCCTTGTATGTAAGCATGCTGTGTTACAAGATACTCCCTGCCTAATATGGAGCAACATAAATGGTCCTGAAGCAGTTACAAGCCCCCTCATGGCTACGTAGGGCACTGGAAGAAGGTGGAAACCAAACAGGAGGGCAAGGTAAGGAGAGGAATCTCGTGGGACTGCAGAGATCTCACAAAGTTACACACTTCAGACTTGCATCAGTGCTGCCAGAGAACACATCAGACCACGTCAATCATTTGCCAGGATCAGTGTGAATGTCATCCCGAAGCTACTAACCTGATACACCTTTCTGCCAAACTCCTGGAGCTTCTCCACTCTGCTTGGAGTAGAGCTGTCCCCCAGAGTGAAGGGGTTTTTCGTAACCTGCAAGAGAAAGCAGGCTCCTTCACACTGTGCCAACACTAGGTTACTATTGAGCCTCGTGTACGTATCCAGTCTGGCCCAAGGCATTCAGGGGAACCCTGGGAAGTCACTAGATAACAGGAGTTAGCCTTCTACGACAGCATGCTGCTCTGGGCAGCCCATAGCAGGCTTTTGAAAGCTCATTTCCTGCAGTGAAGAGGCCCTGTAAAGAGAGATCTCAGTCACACTGTGTACTGGGTTACAGATCCCTTCGATTTCAGAAGCAGACCCAGGAACTAGAGACACCATCGGTTCTACATACTCTGACCTCAGAAACCGTTCTACAGCCCACCTTCCTGTGGGCATTAGTGCCCCAGAACACAATAGGTATTAAGCTAGGCCAATTTGAGCTGCCCTCAGTTGTTTAGAGAGAGCATGCCTGGGCTGGCAGCACACCCAGAGCCTGGCGGGGGAGGGATTGAGGCTGCTCTCAAGTAACCTTCTTGTTAACGTAGTGCCCAAAAAAGCCTGCAGGCCACTGAGTGGCTGATGTAGCTCCCTGTGGACTTAGAGAAGCAGAGCAAATGTCATTGCTGTTCTGCTGCAGCCTTCACATGCCCTCCTTGGAGCAGTGTTTGGCAAATGGGAGCACAAGTATTCAGCATTCCACCAGTCAGATTATGGAAGTCTACACATCCCAAACGCAAATCTCATCCAACAACGGGCTTCAGAGAGGCTACTCACCAGATCTCGGATGTCTTTCAGCAGCCCCTCCAGAGTGGTGAATTTTCCTCCCAGCGCTCCCATGCCAAGCTCAAACTCCAGCTCTGGGATTTCCACACTGCATGTCTCGGACTACAGAGACGAGAGAGATGGTAGGTTTATTCCAGGTCATCCATCCCACTCTAGAGAGCAGCTTCTATCTGAGGGACTCAGACGGGAAAGGCCAAGACTACAGCCACTCTACGGAGAGCCAGGAATAAATCCCAGAAGCCTCAACTAGACCTCTGCTGATGAAGGAAGAGGTCCCAAGAAGCAGCCACACACAGAGTTTGATATCTGAAGCAAGAGGTCACCTTTAGTATATCTCTCGTCATGTCCGAAGGGTCTGTAACACGAAGAGTAATCCTGGTTCCCAGCGGTTCTATTGCTCCTCCAGATTTAACCTAGGGACAGTTTACAAGTGACAAAGCATTCAGAATACTTTAATCCTCTTGCCACTACAGTGTGCTATAAACAGTATGTAAGACGCAAGACAGTGACCCAGCATCTCCACCTTAGGTTTAGGACAGAGTTTTGGGGACAGAAGGGATAGACAGCTACTTAATGGATTAAAGTACTATGACAGTGAGAGCTGTAGATATTTGTTCCCATGCTAAACACCCAGCTGCCGTAGTCCTTCCAACCTGAGTTTGCTGGGAAAAACAGATCCTCTCTGCAGATTAAGTTTGTAACTTTCCAGGACATCAGATATGAACATCTTAGTGTATGCCTGCATTTACACAGCCTGGAACTAGCCAGCCTAAGCATCCAAGTGAGAAAGTCCTCAGTAGATCCCTGCATGGATACAAAATCTGTATCCACATCTACAAAAAAAAGATCAGCACATATCTGCATCTACATTCACAGATGTAGTATCTGCAGATATAAAGCAGATATCTGCAAATTTGCAGATTTCTAGGTACAACATTTGTAACCGCAAATATCTGCAAGTATAAAGCAGATATCTATGGAGAAAACACTAGTCCTCAGCAGGACAGTGGTGAGACACAAGCTATCATGCAAGATAACCCTATGTCCAACAGTTGCAACATTTAGCAAAGCCCCATCTCATCATGAAAAGAAGAAGTGAAGTGCAGGCAACGGACACAAAGAAAAGTCCATCTCTTTGGGAGAAAACACGAGAATGGTGGCATGTTCTGAAGGAGACATGGTCAAGTTCACAGCTCACCTCGTTTGTCCTATGCCCACAGGCCTCACAGTTTGTAGCCATAATTATCACTTCCTTAAAGTGTGGAATTTCTGGGACAGACGTTAAGGAAGTTTGTCTGAAATAAGAAACCTTCAAGAAAAGAACTTTTGGCTTCCTTGCACGGGACTAAGCTGCTTCCCAGCCCTGCCATACAAGGATGCAACTTTCTTCAAGAGAGCATTCCAAGGGGATTACCCTATCAGTGCCAATGCAGGTGCTGAGCACCAATGCAGAGAGTCATGTCAACAGGTATTTGGAAGTTTCCAGACTTTTGTTCCCACTTAATAGGATCATCCATTAGGATTGAAACATGCCCATTGCAAGTCATAAGCCGCGCATCAGACCTTTAAGCCTTTCTCTGACAGGATAAAAAGCCATAAACACACCAGGCCCACGTACAATTCTGAAAATCACTCCTCTGCACAGAGGAGGCCCATTTGTACCATCATACAGTCATAGCACAAGGATACGCACTAGCTTCATGTTAGTGCTGGCTGGAGCATTACATTCAGGACAGTTTGTGTTGAATTGCAACACCTGTAATACAAGAACAGGTTGAAGAGTCTTGAGCACGTCACAAGACAGATACTAAAGCACCTTGCAATACATGGACCATTACATGGCTTGCACAGATACTTATGGCCCTGATCACTATAGCCTGGAAACGGATTTAATCCAACAAATGGGGCCATTTAGGTATCCCTATACACATGCCCGCTACCAGGCTCTCCTCAGAGAGATCAGGACATGCCTACAATCCAGTTAGACAACTCTAGGTGGCTAGCCAGAAATGTTACTCACTTCATTTCTCAGGTCTTCCACAGAGTCATCTGGGTTCTCATCCGTCTCATCTGCCTGAAACAGCACAGAGGCCAATATCAATAAGCTGGCTCAGACAGCTATACCTCACATCTGCTCATTCATGGATCTCCAAACAAACTCTGAGTTAGGGTGGAAGAACAATGCCTCTGCTACACAGCAGCTTCCTCTCCAGCACATAAAGGAAGACAGGAAGATTGAGGATCTGCAGGCATCTCGTCTTTCACCTGAACACGGGCCACAAAGGGCAGGAATGAGGGAAGAGCTAATTTTCATCTGCCAGGCCTCCCCTTACTTGTGACTTGAAGGCACCTTCCCCTCCCAGACCAAATTCCTCAAGTCCAAGCATTGCATCCTGCTGGGCAGTCCTCCTGTAACGTGTAACCACAAGAGCTTCATCTTTCTGTGGCGCATGAGGATTTTCCACAAAGCTGTTACCCGAGGGGTCATCTATAATCTGTCAGAGGGAAGTAGAAAGAAAGTGTTCAGTTTGACCTTCCTGAGAGAGAGAGACAGAGAGACATTCCCACATCCTCTTGCTAACACTTACAAAGGTGAAAGAAGAATCCACTTCCTTCAACTGCTTGAGTTTGCCAATAAATTCATCTATTTTTCCTGCCACATCTTTATCGGCTGCCTGTGAAATGAGAGAACCAAAACTGGATCTTTGGTACCAGGTTAGATGTTAGGCTGGGCACACAATAGCAAGCCAAGAAGTGTTCTCAGCTGGTCATCTAGTAGGGGACATGCAACTGAATGTTTGGGAAAGTTTATACCACAAGCAGGCATCTGTTTTGAGATTCCCTTCTTAAAACACCTTACCCTGCGGACTGGCTGATCCTGCTCCAGGCCAACGACAGCTCTGTCAATTATTCCCTCGATAGTGGTAAGAGCTTGATGGAGGAAGAACACAGACCCAATTGCAGCGTTAAATACACCAAAGAAGTGCTGTTAGTCTTCTAAACTTACCACCCCTAGCCCACCAGCCCTGGGACTATTTGTTCCCACAGATTGTGTGTGTGTGTGGGGGGGGGGGGGGGGGGGGGGGGGGGGGGGGGGGAGGAGGGAGAGGGAAGAACTCTTAAAAGCTCCTGTTTTTCTTCCCCTGGTACTTCTAGTATCTTCCCTTCTCAGATAGCACTATCCAGCTGCAAATTCACTATGCATGTGTCAGTGAACTGAAGCCCAGACCTTTGATAGGCAGCAGCAGCTTCAATATGAGAAGCATCCATGAAGGAAGAGGTGCACCAGGACTAGACTGTGACAGTTTCCAAAACAATGCCGGATTTGAGGGAGCTAGCTTTCTAGGCTAGACACCGACTAGTAGCAGGATAAATTGGGGTCCAGAGTGCAAGACTAGAACCATTTAAGGCAGTAATACCACAGAGCCTAGCTCCACCACCACCCACCCCAATCTCACTGAAGCTGTACTGATGTGACTCAGTTTATACTCCAAAATCCAGACCTTTGCCTAAACTAGGTCATACCAAGAAACAGAACAGTCTATTCCAGTAGCCCAAAGTTGTTGGGAGTGGCTTGGTGAGGTGTTAGTGTATCAGCCATCCCAAGCCACATGTGAGCTCAGATGACATACCTACCTCCTTTCTGAGAGAAAGCAGGAATTTCAAAGTCTAGCTCTGGGATTCTAGCCGTGGCACAATCTGTCTTCACCACTTCCCTATTCATATCCTGGACAGAACAATTTATAGAACAGATTAAAAATAAAGCTACAACAGGCCAGAACTCCTACACATGCTGAGCAACTAAGAATCAGAATTCAACCCTGAGAAGCACACTGGGAACACAGTGTTAGCACCCTCCCAACTGGGGATCATTAACAGCATAGAACACAGCGAGCCAAGACTGGTTGGGCAACTATCAGACTAAGTGAAACTTGGCCCCGCCCATAGTACATGGACATCCGGCTATGGATGTCGCCAGACCAGAGAGGTTTCATCTGTAGATACAAAGCATCAATGAACTGGACACAAAACCAACAATCTTTCCTGATCATAGCTGCCACACATCAGGGCAAATGCTGGCTCTCCCTTCTCCAAACGCTCACAACCTATTCAAGCACATTGCATGGATCTCACAGTACAAGTACTCACAAGAGAGAGTGTCAACATCTCCTTAACGAGCAGTTGATAATGCCCTCCATTAAATATTACTTTACAGTAGTCAGAGAAGCAGATTTTCTGTCATACTATGATCCAAGGACAATTGTGCTTTACCCACAAGTAGGTTCCTGGCTAGAACCTGCCCACCTAAACTCCATCTCTGTCAACCCTCATTATAATTTCAATCTGGATGCACAGGCACCTACCATGCCCTTCTGAGATACAGACAGCCTGTGACCACCCACTAAATTGCAACAGGCACTGGAAGTGTAACCTGTGCTTATTCAGTGGGGCACTCCATCTCCCTTCCATGAGCGGGCAACATGCAAGTTGTTGAGCCAACAACAACCTTGACTAGGCAAATTGGTCTACTAGCTCAGACAGTGGGTGCTTGTGCTGTTACACCATTAGATCCCAGATTCAGTCTCCTTAATATACTCTGCAACAGCCCATTATACCACAAGTGCTAAATGCTTAACATCAGGGCACTTGTATCTCACCAGCTGAGGCTGACGACAGCTCTGCTGTTTTACAACCACTACCTACTACTCCACAGATGGGGAACTCCAGTGCAAAAGGACTCGTCTAAGAGGCCCAGGAAGTCTACGTCAGAGCCAGGATTGAATCCAGAATCTCAGACAAGGCCAGTAGGAGGCAGGTGACGACTAGGCTGCCTCGGAACTGCCAGCAGGGTAGCTCCCTGTATTTCCCCTGGCGCTGAGTGCTCCGTGCCACCAGGTCTGGGCTGCAAACCCCTTCCTGCCAGAGAGGTCCCAGCTCACCTGGCGAGCAGAGACTGAGAGGGTGTAGCGCACGCCCTGCTCCTGGATGCGCCCTGCCGACTGGATCTCAGTGTTGGACCAGGCGCAGCTGTCGCAGGCGAAGGAGCTGACGATGATCTCTTTGAAGAACGGGATCTTGGTGAGCAGCAGCCGCGTGACCCCCTGAAAGAGCAAAGCCACAAATACATGAACACT